AAGTTATATTGAATTCAACATCAGCCAGAAGTACGATAGCTGATATTGACAGATGCAAGTTAAAATAATTCAACTTCAGCCGATGTAGCCACTATTATTTCAAGATGGATTAGTTTAGCGTTTAAAGCAACGTGATTATTATATGTTACACCCTGAGGTGTAAAAAAGTATCATGGTGCTCTAAAAATCCTAAAAACTCAGTCCCATCTTGGTCTCCATTCCAAACATAATCTAAAATTAACAATATTATAGTTTTGACTCAAGCTCGTTCCATCAAGTCTAGTGATTAACGTTTAGCCCGATACGAACTTCCAGGTCGTGAAACGGTTTTCCAGTAGTTGATATGAATTTTCTCTGACAGTTTAAGTATAATTGGTGAAGTAAGTAGGCCAAAGTACACTCCAGGGACCAACCGAGAGCAGGGGATAGGTTTCTTTAGGTAACGTAAATAGCGTCTCAGTCTACTTATGGGGAAACAGCAGTAATATTACTTTGAACCGCGAGGAGTAACGCCATCTTACTCAAGATGTTAAGAGGTAGCAACATTTTCTGAATTATTAAGTATAATTAAATATATGAATTTCGGAAGAATAGAAGACTGGGATATATATTTGCAGTAGAAAATGAAGTAAACATTCAATGAGTGAAAAAGATAACAAAAGACAATGTTGATGTTATATAATGTCGAGAAAAGGTTTTATAATTTTTTACACCGCTTTTGTTTTCCTGCTGGCTTACAGGTTTCATGTTGTTCTTGTTTTAATGGAGCGTTTGGCTAAAAAATAGATCTAGAAAAGAGTTTGTAATCATGCGTTGAATAATCCAAATATTTTTGTTAGACTCATGACAACTGAAAGCTCTTGCGTTTATAAAAATAGAACAAAGAACTGTTTTGTGGATGATCTCCTTTTTCATCAAGAAGTTAATTGCCATGTGACGAATACTTAACGTAATGCATAATTAATTATCCTTAATTGTGAATAATGTGATCACATGTTTTCAAGCTAAAAAGAACGCTAACTATCAGAGGCGTCACTGGATGTTTAAAAGATTCGTGGCTCGGTTCTGTAGGGGTAGGAATTTTCGACGTTTCAGTATGATATCGATCATGGTTTTTTCTAATCTGATTTTTTTCAAGACACCAACTGGTGATTCGGGGTACGAGCCTCGTGTGCCAGCGCCTAGCGACACCTCTGCTAAATATGTTTTTGCGGAATTTGGACTGATTGGATTAAGCTTGCTTAAAACATGCTTCATCACATTATCTTACGAATTACAAAACCTCATTTGTAGCTCAAGCCAATATTAAGTAGCTTAAAGGTTTATTGTAACTATTTAATATAGATTGTGTCACTACTGATATAGTCATGTACAGTATATTCCAGTTGCACGTAGTACAATTCTTGAGAATAAAAATAATTGATCTACTACTGATTCGAAGAGGACTGGGCGTGGCTTAGAAGTTAGCTTGCCTGGCCTGTGGACCTAATAATACATGGTTCGCGACTCGCTGCCGCAAAACGCGCTCCGTGCTTTGGATTAGAGACGTGGCATTCGAGAACGATTCGTTCTTTTCTAACGACTCATTATGGTTGATCACGAGGATCGAGTCAGAGTCCCGTTGAATCGATTCTTTTTCCTCGTGCGATTGACAAATTACGTGACAAGAGAAATAATCAGCCTAATAATATAAACTCATGAGATGATTCAAAAGCTCCTGAATCCGGTACGATAATCATTCTGGACCAACTCAAATCTACACACAGTATTCACATCATAATAATTCACGATAATGATAATTATTAGCACCAACATTATTATGACATATATCCAGATATTTGTTTAGTGCTCATTTATTTTGAACTACTTGTATTTTGTCTTGTATTTATGAAAAATAAATCCAGAAACTGGTGTGTCGCTATACAGCTGTGATCGTCCCTCTTCCATTCTGGTAACTGAAATGAGATTTTAATATCTTTATTGCGTTTGTTTCAAATCAGTATAATAAAGGCAGTGCTGGCAGAATTTAACATTTTATGTTAGAGAACCTATCAATCCAACCGAAAACTTCCAGAGCATATGATAAGTATGACAGCACCCTCGTCAGTTAAATTGATAAGTTGAAAAAGACTTGGGGACACAAAATAATATGTAAACACGCAGAGAAGATTTTAATAAAGTTATTAGCGACACCCCCGGGGGGGGGTCGTGTATTTGAATAGCGCTGTACAACAACAGACACAAGAGGAACAAAGGCCTACATAATTGATAACACCGTTGTGAAGTAAACCGGGGAGAGGACGGGGTCTTATCTTTGGATAGCACTGTACAACAACAGACACAAGAGGAACAAAGGCCTACATAATTGATAACACCGTTGTGAAGTAAACCGGGGCTTGTCTTTGAATAGCACTGTACAACAATGGACACAAGAGGAAGAAGCCTTCGATAACACCGTTATGAAATAAATAACACGGATAATTGCAACAAATACGATACGTTCGAACCTCTTACTTTCAACCCCGTAAAATAAGATATTCAATAAACTACTACTAGGAAGGAAGTCGAGTTAGATGGTTTACTTTCTTACTCGTTTTTACAAGCTACATGTTATAAGGCTGTTAAACTATTGGCTAAACTATGTTTAATAGTTTATATTCTGGTGTTTTCTTCATGATTTTTACAAAAATGTATTGTTTGTTCAACTTATACTTTGTGTTTAAGAAGCATAACTATCGAGACAACCAACTTTAGATTGGATACTTAGCCATTTTCCGTTTAAATAGTACTTCCTAACTAAGTACTTCAGTATAGATGTTTTGATTTGTTTTTCAGCGAATCAAACGAACGAATCTTTTTGAATCGACTCATAAACTGAATTAAATTAAATGAATCGAACTGCTGCCCATCACTACTTTAGGACTGTGGGTGAGGATGAGGTTGATTGGTTGCA